ATACAACATCAGCTTCAGGTGTACAGTGCAGTGTATTTGGTTTTTTTTAAAGATTACACATATAAGTGATGTCATGCAGTATTTATCTTTCTTTGTCTTTGTTTCACTTATCATCATGCCCTCAGGGCCCAGCCATGTTGTCCCAACTCTTAACAGTTTGTGGAGGCCAGCACTTTGTCTGCATTTTACAGATGAGGAAATGCTGATTCAGGGAGTTGAGTTGCACAGCTTCTGAGTTAGAACTAGGGGATTTGAATGCAGATCTATCTGACATTAGACTGAGCTCTTACACATTGTTCTCAATGATCTTCCTGTCCTAGATCACACGACACGCCCTAGACAAAATTTATATTCAGGTCGATCTGGCTCAAAGCCCAGGGTTTTTTCTGGTGCACCACCTGCCTTCCCACCCAAGCCCACACCATGAGGACTAATGCTGGTAGCTGGTACTCACTGGGCACATGACTCCCACAGCATGTCTAGCAACTTGAGAAGAAGTTGATTTAGTTGGTGACATCCTTATCTTTAAATGACATCCCCTAGTAAGCAAGAGAAAATTGTGGTCAGCGAATTCTAGGCCTGTGTCCAAGTAGCAAGTTCAGGCTGAAGAAGTAAAGCCAACAATGGAAACTTAAGCTCCAGGAAAGAATATACTCATTAAGCTGATGAAAGTCATCAGCAACTTTGTTGAACCTGTCCCCTGGTCATGTCTCCAAAAGAAAAGAAGGGAATACATCTAATGAGGTGGGTACAGGTGGGAAAGAAGGTTTAGAGGAAAATTACTTTTGATTTCCCCCATGACTCTAAAAGCAATGCTGCATTTCTTAGAGCAAAGGTTGTCTCTTCAATACAGCATGGGAAATAAAAGCATCCAACTGAAACCCTTGACATTGGTATGAGGATGGGCCAGCAGGACAAGCAGACAAGGCTGAGACAGAGCAGCTTGAGAGGTAGGAGGGGAAGCCATCGAGTGTGCTATCACAGAAGCAAGAGAAGTGAGTGTTTCATCAAGGAGGGGTGAGCAATGTTACCAAGCACTCCTGGGCCAGCTCACAAGTTCCCAAGCTCAGAAGAACAGGCTACATCCTACTGGATCTCAAATACCATCCTCAGAAAAGAGAGCCAGGAGGAAGACACTTGCTTCCACCTCAGCCTCCTTATTCAAATTCTGACCTCACCTTCAAAGGCCAGAGATGTATTTAAAAAAAGAAAAGAAAAAAAAGGCATGTGTGTTAATCCAGGTCTTCCAAGAAGCAGATGCCATACAGGATTAGACCAGCAGAAAATGTATGAAGGTAAATGTCATATGAGGGAAAATGAGAGGGAGTCAGGAGTGGGGGCTGAGAAAGCCATCGGACCAAGATGCAGGTGTGACTCTTGTGCAGGAGCGAGGGAAGGGGAAGGAAAGCCGGGTGAAAGGATCTTTGATTACTATGTGTTCTAAGAAAGTTTGGCAAGACTCATGGGGGCATCCGTGAGTCACAGTCACTCTCTCATGAGTTCCTGTCCCCTAGAAATAGACCTGCCATGGTATTCCTGCCACATTCCCTCCGTAGCTGGGAGGAGCCTGTGGAAAGCACGGCCTTGGCACTGATACAGTAATGGATTTCAGAGCTCCCTTACTGGGGTATTGGTCAATTAGGCACTATTTATTTTTCCCACCTTAAAAGAAGGTAGTCTAACATCTTCCCTATAGGGTTGTTGAGAAA